TGCTGGCTACTGAGGCTGCCAAGCCCAAGGTTGACAAGTAAAAAGACACAGTCCCGACGTTACCAAACCACATGGCAGGCCATTAATTCAAGTCCGTTGTAAGTTCCAAGGTCGGCAGAGCATGGCAGGCTGCTGAACAATGGCACGGCTACATGCAGGTCCAACCGTGCCATAAGCTAGAGACCATTCCCAAGGCTGCTCCTTATATACAGGAAGCAGACCACATCCCAAAGACAGCTACTCAGCTGCTTGTGGTAGATCCCACCATGGAGTTGATTACCAGCCTCATCATGTGGAATAACTACCACCAGCTGTCCAGGCCCAGCCAAGTTGACATACAAATTTAACTACCACAAGTATGTATGTAAGTGTGAAGAAAATGTGTAGAGGTGCACCTCTTATCTACCATGTTTATTTTTTTAAGAAGGATGCATTTATTTTTGTGAAATTAAGAATTAATAACATTAAAAAGTCAGCAGATTTATTAGGGGTCTGGAAATACTTGCATTTAACTAGGTTAAGATGTGTTAATTGTGACAAAGCAGTTGGCGTTATCAGATATGATTTTATCTAAGTGTCTCATTATATAACAAAGAGTGGTATCCTGAAGAAATGGAACATAGACAGGTAAATGCTAATAGAAGGAAGGCATAGGAAAGAAATCAGCATGAAGATCTGCTGATTAATAAGGAGACAGGCTCAGAAGCCACACTTCTATCTCTGTAGCTTTTACAGTTTTACCTGAGGCTAGTCTTCCTAATAAGTCCCCAGGTGGTGCAAAGAGTTTCAGCTTCTAACTGAAAGGTTAGAGGTTCTAGTCCATCCAGAGATGCCTCAGAAGAAAGGCCTGGAAATCTACTTCCCAAAAAATCAGCATTGAAACCCTTATGGGGCAATTCTACTCTGACACATAAGGCGTCTCCATGAGTTGGAATCAACTCCATGGAAACTGGTTTGGTGTGGCTTTGGTTTTGGTCTTTCTAAGAAGCGTAAGCTCAAATAATCAGTTTATAGGACTACCCTTCTATGTAGTATTCTCCATCCCAGCTACTTATTTGAGTCATTTATAGAGGTTTACCAAAATGTCACTGCCTGGAACCATGATGAATAAAGTAGGGTCTTTGGGAAGTGAGGTCTGAGCATTGGTATTTTAATATAAACAGAGCTCAAACCCTTTGTTAGAAGGATCATGCGTGTGCTCACACATACTTTGACAGCTTCCCAGTTGGAGCAACATCGTGCTAGCTGAGTGCTCCAAAAATGAGATCAGGTGCTTCTTGAACTCTTGGGAAGTAAGGTAGGAAAATAAAATATAATTGTGTTTTTGTATTATGTGACTCCAATATTACAATATCATGTGTTTGGTTCATTTCAGGCTCGACTGACCAAAGAACAGCGCTGGGGAAGTTCGTTACTTTCCAGAAACCACTCATTAGAAGAGGAATTTGAAAGAGCAAAAGCAGCAGTGGAGGTAACTTCTTTTAAATTAGTTTTCTGTTTCATGTTTCTGAGAATAGAGTTCAAAACTCAGACTTCAGCAGGATACATATGAAATGGGTCTTAGTTTATTGTCATAGGAAATAACCATGATTATGATTGTTTGAATGAGACTTGTCATCAGAGGACCTTTGGTTTTCTACCAGAGTGACTAATAGACGTCACCTTTATGCCAATTCTGTTACAGAATACTGGTGACTGTTGGAAGTCCTGGGTCAGAAAAAACTCTGAGCCCCATCTAGGTTCCATGATGAGCTTATGCCAAGTGTCTCCCATGCCTCTCTCAGGCCAAAAGGAGCTCTAGTGGCACTGTGATTAAAGCAATGGGCTGCTAACCAAAAGGTTGGTGGCTCAAACCCACCAGCTGCTCCATGGGAGAAAGTTGAGGCAGTCTGCTTCCATAAAGATTATGCCTTGGAAACCCTATAAGGCAGTTCTATCCTGTCCTGTAGAGTCTCTATGAGTCAGAATCAACTCAGTTGCAGTGGGTTTGGTTTGGATTTGGTTTTGGCTCTCAGGCCAACATTCACACCTGACATTTTTCTCTTTCTAGTACCTAACATAAGGAGCTATAGTGCTGCATTTGTTAAGGCATTTGGCTACTAACCAAAAGGTCAGTGGTGCAAACCCACTAGCCACTCTGAGGGAGAAAGATGAGGCAGTCTGCTTCCACAAAGACTTATAGCCTTGGAAACCCTATGGAGGTTGCTATGAGTCGGAATCAATTTAATGGCAGTAAGTTTGGTTTGGTTTTGGAGCATCTAACACAATGTCTATAGGAGCTCTGGTAGCATAGTGCCTAAGGCACTTGACTGCTAACCAGAAGGCTGGCAGTTCAAACCCACCAGCCACTCCTTGGAGGAAGGTTGGGCAATCTACTTCCATAGTGATATCACCTTAGAAACCCAAGGAGGGGTTGCTATGAGTCAGGACTGACTCAATGGCACGTAACAACAACAACAACAACAACACAATGTCTGAAATGTGGATCTTGCTGCCCCTGGAATATGATACATGTTCCTAACTGGGTGAGAAAAGGAGCTCTTGGCACAGTGATTAAAACATTCGGCTAGTAAGCAAAAGGTTGGTGGTTCTAACTCACCTGCTGCACTGCAGAAAAAAAAAATGAGTCAGTCTACTTCCTTAAAGATCAATAGCCTTGGAAACCCTATGGGGGCAGTTCTACTATGTCCTAAAGGATGATTATAAGTTCGAATCAACTGGATGGCAGTGGATTTGGTTTGTTGTGGGGGGTGGTGAAAGGGTTGTTGTTAAGTGCTGTCAAGTTGGCTTTGACTTATAATGACCTCATGTACAGCAGAACGAAACACTGCCTGGTCCTGTGCCAGCTTCATGATCCCTGCTGTGACTGAGCCCATCGTTGCAGCCACTGTGTCAATCCATCTTTTTGAGGGCCTTCCCCTTTTTTGTTGACCCTCCACTTTACCAAGCATGATATCCTTCTCCAGAGAACAGACCCTTCTGACAACATGACCAAAGTAGGTGAGACAAAGTCTGGCCATTCTCGCTTCCAAGGAGCACTCTAGCTGCACTTCCTCCAGGACGAATTTGTTAGTCCTTTTTGCAGTCCATGGTACTCTCAGTATTCTTGGCCAACACCACAACTCAAAAGCATAGACTCTTGTTTGCTCTTCCCTATTCATTGTCCAGCTCTCCCACTCATATAAGGGGATTGAAAATACCATGGTCGGGGTTAGGTGCACCTTAGTCTTCAAGGAGATATCTTTGCTCTTCAGCACTTGAAAAAAGTCTTTTACAACAGATTTGCCCAATGCAGTACATCTTCTAATGTCTTGACTGATGCTTCCATTGGTGTTGATTGAATGGAATACTGTATGGTTTTAAATCAGGAAGGGAGTGTGTCAGGGTTGTATCCTTTCACCATACGTATTCAATCTGTATGCTGAGCAAATAATCTGAGAAACTGGTGAAAGGGTATGACTTGACTATTCTAGCCCATCATACCTTGAACCATACTTTTTATTATTAAGAATGCACCATTCATTGTTGATAAATACAATTAATTGCTTGATGTGGACACTGATTTCTATATTTAGTCTTCTAACGAGGAAGGAAGGAAGGAAACCAAACCTTTGTTGTTCTTTTTTTAATCCATTTCCTTCCTGACTGGAATTACATGAGCACATCACAGATACTGTCTATGATACTCATCGAACCTTTGCTAGATTGCTATTTGAGTGGAGCTTTCACTAAACCAAAGTAAGAACTTGTTAGGGCTTCCATTTCTATTTCTGATATGAAATCTTGAAAATTGAAAGTATTCTTGGAATATGATTCATTTATGTGGCTATCTTACCACTAGAATTTGTATGAAATGATTATACTATGGGCAGTCTTTCAGTAACTTTATACTTGAAGTGTAATATAATCACACTTGCAATTTAATATTAAAAGCTTTCTTTCTATTCTGGGAAATAATTCTAGCCATAATTTCATATCATCATATAGAAACCCAACAAGAGAACTCTTCTATCTCATTATAATACAATTCACTGAAATTTCTTCTTTTAATTTTGACTTTAAAAAAAAGTTCATGCATATTTAGTGCTCTTAAATGTAATCAACAGATATATTTGATTGAGACCAGCTGAGTTCAATCAATTGTTGAAATACATTGAGCCTGTAGCTCAATTTATCTTTAACATAGACTCCAGAGCTAATTTAAACATCTTATTTGAACTCCTACTGTGCCTAGTACACTGAATTAGACAACACTAGAAAGAAGATTCTTATGTATACATAAGGATAACCTGGAGGTTTATAAGAATCACATAAAGACCTTGTTCAAATGTAGACACTGATTCACTATATCTGGAGTGGAAATGCAAATTCTCAAGAGGAGGTCGAACCAATTTGGAGCCCTGCAAAAGATTTAATCAATTACAAAGTAACATATCAACAAGGGATATACCAAAAAACCAAACTCACTGACGTTGAGTCGGTTCCAACTCATAGTGAACCCTCCTTGGGTTTCCAAGATGGTATTTCTACAGAAGTAGATTGCCCAGTCTTCCTTCGGAGGAGTGGCTGGTGGATTTGAACCGACAGCCTTCTGGTTTGCAGTCAAATGCCTTAGGCGCTACGCTGCCAGAGCTCCTACTGGAAAATATAGATACATGTATATTCAAAAATTATTTTATCTTACAGGTGATAGAGACCTTAAAAGTCATAACCCCAACCTCTCACACAAAACAATTTTCTTTTCTTTTAAAATATACTTGGCAAAGAATGGTTCAACATTAGAAAAATAATCAATGTCATCCACCACATAAATAAAACAAAGAAAAAGAACCACATGATCATATCAATTGATGCAGAAAAGGCATTTGATAAAATCCAACACC